ATCTTCCCATTGAGTAGGTATAGTTTGTGCTAAATCCGCGCGCACTAACAAAAGTTGGGTCCCAAACAGCACATCCCTCCTGTCCCAACATCCCCTCCCCACCCACACAAAGATCACAAACACACACAAAACATCAAACACTTGTCAAGCAGGCAGCAGAGTAGCACCATCACCAGCGAGCGTGCGGTAAGTGCGGCCGCCGTGCGTGGCGGCCGGTGCCCCCGCGGGGTCAGGGTACGCCCAGGGACCGGGGTGGCTGCTGCCAGCCTACCTGAGACACCGTGATATTACACTTTCTGGCCAGCTCTTCTTTGACCTCCTCCGTGGGGTAGGGGTTGCTCAAGTTGGCGTAGAAATACTCGTTTAGCAGTTCAGTCGCAGTTTTGGTAAAGTTTCGCCTCTTTCGCCTGCGAACAAAGGGACAACTTAGCGCCGAGCAAGATACGACTCAAATGGCTTGCGCCTGACAGTGGCGGCGCATATTTCAGCGAAATGAGGACGTGAGTGCAACGGGAAAGGATCGAACAGGATCGGAGGAGCTGCGGCGGCAGCGCGCCGAGAACCAACTGGACGGCGACAGGCGAAACCCGGCCAAAAGTGCGTCCGAGCAATGCCTGAGCAGTGAGCGGTGCCCGAGAGGTGTCCCAGGCAGCGGCCACGCCGGGGAAGGGCCCGGGCCCCGGGCGGGTGGGGCGGGACGGGCGCCGATACCTGGCCCACCGAAATGCCGCACGTCTTGGCCAGCTCCTGCTTGGCCTCCTCTGAGGGGTAGGGATTGGCCAGATTGGCGTAGAAGTACTCGTTGAGCAACTGGCAGGCCTTTTTGCTGAAGCTGCGTCGTCGCCGCCTGAAAGGAAGAGACCGCGTGCCCCCTCAGCGGCCGCCACCGGGCGCCCGGTGCATTGGGCGGCACACACAGACACGCACACACGCACACACCTGTGACACGGTAATGTTGCACCTCTTCGCCAACTCCTCTTTGCTCTCCTCGGACGGGTACGGGTTGCCGACATTGGCGTAGAAATACTCGTTGAGGATCTCGGAGGCTTGTTTACTAAAGTTCCTCCGCCTCCGTCTGGTGGCGGACAGAGGGCGGCGGGTGAGGGGGGCGCGGCGTGGCGAGGCCGCCCTCCTCGTCACACCGCGCGTGTCCACCGGCTCCTGTCAGCACGCAACCCCATCTCCCGCACAGTCTGGCTCAGAGAGCAGCCATCAATGTGACGAGCGACGCCACCTCTGCGCCAGTCCTAGTCCAGGTGAAACGGGCAGCTGCTGTTGCATGCAATTGAGATGCAAAAGTCACTCTCGACCCACATATGAATAAAACACGACTCCGGCGAATGCAGTCGGATGTTCAGTGGCCGCCTGAAGTTGACAAACGATAGGGAGCCATTACGCGGCACGATAACATGGCCGGATGCTGCAACAAAAGGAGCGACACACAGCCTTGCCACTTATATATCCAAACATTGCAAACTTCACAAGCTGATTCCACCACCAGCCCGCAGCGCCCGCCGCCGGCGCCGACTCCAAACACAGTAGGTATGGTATCCGCTGGGCGGCTGAGGCGGCCGCCTCGGACCGGCGAGACACAGCCGGACGGGGGCCGCCCGGCCGACTCAGCACACAGCGTCGCACCCGACGAAGCCAATCATCCCGGAGCTCTCTGCGTGACGGCACGATCCGCCGTCGGACGCCCAATTTCGACGAGGCGGTGGACGGCCGATGGCGCGCCGGCCGATGGCGCGCGGCAGGACGGGAACGTGACTGGGCGGCCGGCGGCGCGGCCGACACGGCTTTCATCCCGATTATTGAAGCATTGAAGTCGCCCGGCGACAGATGACACTGCGATCGGAGCCGACAGTTCGCGGAAGGCGGCGGCTGTGGTCCGCGGCAGGCCGCGCCCGGGGGACCGCAGGCCGGGGCACGGACGGCCGATTCGGCTGACGGAGTTCTGCCAGGTCAGCAGGCCGTCAGCCGACAGCCGACCACTGCTCGCCTCCAGGAGGGGCGAGCAGCGCGCCCGCGGGGCCCATCAACAGCCGGCCCCTGAGCGCCATCGGCCGCCGTCTGGCATGCTCCGCGTGGTTCAATGACGGCTAGGAGTCATACCAGCACACGGCGACCACAGCAAACTGCAGAAACACGCCCCATTGGATGAGAGCTCACAGAGCTCAGCGACCACTTGGTGAATAAACGCCACCAGATAAAAATTCCCGATATAATTTATGGCTTTATGAGACCAAAAGCGAGCCGCGTCGTTTATCTAGGGATCGACTACATTCTGATAAAGGCCGGCACGGACACAGTAACAAATGATATATGGTAAGCAGGCGAGCGGCGGGCCAACACAGCGCCGGTTGGGGCGGCGAGTAACGGGGCCCAGCCGCATCGGTGATCCCAACCGGCGCGTGGCCTTCTGAATAATGGCCTTGCCCGGGCGGCAGCGGCAACATACAGAAATCGTGCAAATTACATGCATGCCGCGGCTCGGGATTCGGCCGATTCGTCCCAGATAATGGCCGTCATCGTTCATGGGGACACGGGGTCGGCGGTCGGCGACCAGGTGCTCGGACCGACGCGGGAGCCACACAGGAGCCGCCGTTGCTGGGCGGACGGCGGCCAGCGCGCGATTATTCCGACCGATGTGACGCCTAACCAGCATCTGAATTGCATTTTACGGCGGCACAATTAACTGCACTGGCGCTACAGAGCAGGCGCGGGACGAGCTCTGCCCTAATGACGTCATTACGGCGCTCAGTGGGAGCGGCGGCAAACATCAAAACGGAAATCCCGCTTTCCGGTGATGCTCAAAGCGGTTGGATCAGAGCTCGATGTCCCATTCGACATGCAAAACTTTTTCGTTACTCGATCATAAACGTGGCTTGAGGATAGAACGGGTGTCAGCATTCACTAAGCCGTGTAAGTGTACGGTGTTAATGTCTGATCTTTTTCAGGATACCAGCCGTTACAAGGCGAATGGACAGCACAGCCGTTATAGGCGATTTGCTGATTTCGTGCAAACTGCAAACCTCTTCCGCGACCAGACTCAGTTTTGAGATTAGGTAGATACGAACATTGATTAAGCAATAAAACATATCGAGCATCCATAAAACGAGCAATGCAACAAACAAGACGCCAAAGGAACTGAAAAAAATAACAGTGAGAAGTTACGGGTAGCTTCTAAAACGAGACTTATCCTATCCAGCAAAGTAGACCACATAGCAGCAACACAATGTCTCGTGCTCACTCAACTGAAACAAATATAATTTGAGTGGTTTCAATATAACACCAATCGACGTAGCGCTGGAATCTGACCGACTTCTCGACAGACAAAGCGCATTCCTTTCGAATTCATCTGGCCGGTGAAATGGAGCTGCAGTGACGTCGCCTAGCCGCCGGCTCCGTTCGGAGCGCGTGCCTCGACCGCCGCCAATGGTCGCCGCCGGCCGCCATCCACATTTGTCTAATTACTCGGACCTATCCGATAATGAGCGGCGCGGGCGCGCGGCGCGAATACGGAGAGCGTCGTTGTGGCACGCGCGGGGGCGGCGGCCGACGTGGGAGCACAATGTCGATGGCGCTGCGGGCCGGAACGGCGCCGAGGCACGCGGCGGCCGGGGGCACCGCTGCCGGCCGGCCGCGCGCGGAATGTGCGTCCGGCAGGATCGGCCGGCCGGCAAACAGTGGAGGAGGCGGCCGGCCGGCAGACAGAGATACGAGGAGAGGGTCCGCGTCACAACACGCCGACAAACGTCACTCGAACGCTTCCCGTTTACACTTCCAGGAGATGTGTTATGGAGCGGGGTGTTGTACGACGATTATAATTGAGAAAACGGAGCTGTCATAAAGCTGGCAAAACATGCTTCTCCGAAGATGAACACGCAATTACACAAGACAATCAATGCCACAACTGTGTCACTGAACACAAGGAATGGAATTTAGCAGGTAGTGAAATGCTAGCATATGAACCGTCAGTCCACGTTTCTCTAATGCTTTAACTCGTGACAGTGAGGAAGGACTTCAATCGTCCTCACGGATCTCAACCATTGCTTCTCGTACCGGCCGGGCCGTCGCTAATCCGGTGGGGTTGGTGTGTAAGGTGTGCGCCTCTCGCCTTTGGGTAGTACATAATTACGCTGCCACCTATGTACTTCGCTTCTTCATTGTTTTTGTTATATTAATCACCAGTAGTGTTACCTGCGTGGCGGCAATATTTATACCCCTCTTTATATTACGTACAATTAACACGATTTACGGCAATACTTATACTTTCTTTATATTACACGATTTCAACACTGCTGAGCGCCCGGCTCTGCACGGCAACCCGCGCCCGGCTGGCGGTGTGTCATTTGTTATTCATGTCGATCGCCGCTCAGCGCCTGAAGCCGTCTGGCAGGCGCCTGGACACTCAGCAGCCGGAGCCGGCGCTCTCTGAACATCTCAACACACGCATACCTATCTAGGAACACTTTTAGCCTGCTAAATGTCCACTAATGGTTTTGACGTGTTTCTTGGAACTCTGCTGCGCCGGACACTTTCAGCCGCGTGACATTAGTCACCCACGTGACATAGAACTTCCAGAACCTACTAGAACATTCGAGAGTCGTGACGCAGCAACGACCAATCACAAACGTCCGAGTTACACTCGAAAAAGTCTTGAGCCAATCGTAAGCCGCCACGCAGGGTAGAGGGCCACCGCCCCATAGTAGGAACTAGGTTGAGGGAGTCGAGCTCTGACCACCCCTCACGGGTGCCGTTCAGAAGACCCCCGGCCGTCACTGAGATCAGACGTGTCGTGCCTGAATCGTGTGTGACTCCCAATACACCGGTGCTGAAGAACTGGAGTGTGCAAGGGCTAACACCTGCCCGCCGTGCCCCAGCCCCGGGCCCGTGAACTACGGCGTGTTACACTGGTGCCGTGACCCGGATCGAACCAACTGCCGCAGAAGCCGTCTTCTCCCCCATCTGCTTCTGCGCGCAACTCGCAGCCGACGAAAGACTCAGCCGGTGGTCGGAAACGGTTATGCCATTCCACGGATCACTGGCCGGCTACCGCATCCAACTAGACGTGCCCATCGATCCGAAGTCGTACACCGTAAACTGTATCTGCTGGCGCCTTCTAGAACCCGTCGCCACACTCAGAGCAAATCTACAAGACGTACTGCCGCGCCTCTGCGGGTACCATAAACTCTTCATCGAACTCCGGATCAACTCGCCTATCTCCCGCGAACCGTGCGACTGTCGAGACAACAGCCAACGGAACTTTTGCCCGAACTGTGGATTTTGTCACCGCTGTGGCAGCGATCTGTGTACCGTTTCAACAAGCAGATTCCACTCGTGCAGCTGCCCATCGTGCCTGGAGCGCTGCTGCCGCCTTGAAGGCGCCAACCCGGATCAAGTCAAGACCACCCAACTGAAGCACCTTCTGCTTCGCAAACGTCAGCTGCCGCTGCGCAAACGCTGCTCCCAGGCCGCACAGCAGACCGAGTCGCAGAGCCTGGAGGAGCTGCCACCCCTCCGTGGTCTAACACCACCGCCCTCCGCGAACTCCGACAATCACGCGCCCGCCGCTTGCGCGGACACCGCCGGACAGCTTCAGGTGCAACTCCCAGACTCGCTCAACCGTGAATCAGACGAGTGGTAGTGCAGTGTGGCAGTGTGTGTGTGCAGTGTGCACCCCTCTCCAACGACCGGACAAACTCAAACAGGTACGTCCCGACAACTCCCAAGCGGCCACTAAATTTTTTTTTTTATTTCTGTTTTTGGTGCGTATACATATAACGTAGCAAATAAAGTTTTGTATTCTCACGGTTGGTTAACGGTCAATTGTCTCGATGGCTCATCCGGAAACGTCTCGCCCGCATGCTTCTGCTTCCGCTCCCTCGGGACCAATGATAGATGCAATGATGCAAGGCTTTGGCATCCTCAAAAACCAATTAATGACTAACCAGGCGGTAGCTGGTAAACATCACTTTGACGGCACGAGTAGCGATCATTTTAGCAAATGGCTGGCTGAAATGGACAATTTACATATGGCGCTAAAAGGCGACGAAGAACAAACCCTTTGGGCCGCTAGCCAGACGCTCAAAGGCACAGCTTTAGACTACTTTCACGAAGTATCACCGTCCGTCGACTCGTGGGCCCGTTTCAAAGCTCTCATGTCCCAACGCTATCATTACCTAGACGACGCCGACACAGCCAAACAAAAGCTTCAGACATTTGTCCAGAGACCAAACGAGTCAATTCCCCATTATGCCGAACGACTTCAAGCGCTCTCACGCCAGGCCTACAAAGAGAAGATGGATGAATCTAGTGTGGTAGAAGCCATCACTAGGACATTCATCAACGGAATCACTGACAGAAAACTACAAGAACGCATAGCGACCCGCCGACCAAAAAGCCCGACAGAAGCATATCATATAGCTATGGATCAAATCAAACTGATGACAGAGCTAGCTACTTATCGCGATCATTCAAAAAACAAACCAGAGCCCATGGATTGCAACGCCGTCACACCCGCGCCCGCGAACACTGCACAAACTAGCGACCTATCTGAGGTCAGAGACCTACTAGAGGTACTAGTAAGGCGCACCGACGACTCCTTTCAAGTCAGACCTCAGGTCCACCAAAACTACCAACGGCAGACAGCTGACCAAAGGTATCCGCCCCCGTTGAATCAACCGCCCCCGGGCCAATTCTTCCATCAACCGCCGTTCCAGCCGGGCCAACATCAACCAAACCCTGGGAATTTCGGACAGAATTCGAGGCAAAAGCCGATCTATCAATGGACGCCAGATCGCCGGCCAATCTGCTATTACTGTGGCCTGATAGGCCACGTGCAACGCATCTGTCGCAAGCGACAGGCAGCCAATGCTTCTGCCCAGCGTCCGCAAAACCAACAGCAGGGTAGGTCAAACAGAGGTCAAGTGCAGCAGGGAAACATGTAAAGCCTCACACAGATTCGGCGACAGGCGGCAAGGAAACCGCCCAAGTTTTGAAAATTAACGAGAACTGCCCGTATGTTGACATTTCCATCGGTACACACCCCTTTCATACACTTCTGGATACCGGCTCACAGCTCTCGCTTGTCAGTGAAAAATTCGTAGAATTATTGGAACCGTCGCTAGTGAAACCAGCTGAAAAACAAAAAGTTACCTTGGTGTCAGCCTCTGGACACAAATTGAAACCGACCAGATCAGTCAAAATACGAATCACCCTAGGAAAAGTGCGCATGTACCATGATTTTGTAGTGGTGAACGATTTCAACCACGATATGATTCTGGGTATCGACTTCTTGAATGCCAGGAAAGCTCTATTGGACTTTGAGAACCAAACCATGATCATTGGGAGGTACGTGTACCCACTCAAAACCAAGCGAGGAAAGAGCGCAAAAGAAACAAATTTAGTGAGACTCGCGGAGGACGTAGACGTCTTCCCACGTTCGGACTTACAGGTCAAATGCGCGATTGCAAGGAAAGGCAAACCTGGCGAAAGCTTCGTCGTGACTCAGCTTCCCTCGTCCCCATGTTTCGAAAATGAACCCGGTGTTCTATTGCCAAACGCCGTCGTCGCTCTCTCTAAAAACCGTCACATCCCATGGGCAATTGTGAATGAAACGGGTCGACATTTGTACTTCAGAAAAGGACAAGTCATTGGAGTAGCAACAAAATTCGATGATTCAGAAATCAAGCCAAATGTTTTGTCAGCAGAAAAATCGAAAGAGAACGTGAAAGATAATCCAGAGGACAAAATTAAGTCATTCAAACTTGACCATATCCCAGACGAGCAAAAAGATCAGTTGAAAACGTTACTGATGGGCAATATGGACATATTCGTTGAAAAGGATATAGAGCTGACTATGACCAACGTAACCGAGATGAGAATCAATACACAAGACCATCCCCCAACGTATCAGGCCCCCAGACGACCGCCACTCGCCTATCGAGAGGCGCTCGAAAAACAAATTCAGGACATGTTAGCCGCCAACGTCATCCGCCGGAGCAACTCGCCTTGGATGTCACCCGTTCTGCTGGTCCCCAAAAAAGATGGCTCGCTTAGACTTTGTGTAGACTTTAGGAAATTGAATGCTATTACAGTCAGACCAGCTGCTAGTATCCCGTCGCCAGATGACATATTCTTTGCGCTCGGAAAATCGAAGTTCCGCACTTGCCTGGACATGAAACAAGGTTTTTGGCAAATTCCTATCAGGGAAGAAGACAAAGAAAAAACCGCTTTTGGAACAGATGCAGGGATATTCGAATATAATAGACTAGCTTATGGATTGAGTGGTTCGCCAGCTGTTTTTCAAAATTGTATGAACGCTGTACTAGGAGATATTCGTCATTTTGCCTTAGCGTTCATAGACGACATCATAGTGTTCAGCGAAACGTTTGAGGACCACATGAAACATCTGGAGCAAGTGTTCGCCAGGCTACGAAAAGCCAACCTAAAATTGAAAATTTCAAAGTGCGAATTCATAAAAGACCAACTCAATTATTTGGGACACATCATTTCAAACGACGGAATTTCAGTTGACCCCCAGAAAGTCTCAGCGGTCCAAAACATGCAACCACCTCAGAACGTGCGGGACGTCAGAAGCTTCCTCGGTATGGCATCATACTACAGAAAGTACGTTCCAAATTTCAGCAAATTGGCGAAGCCTTTAAATGCGCTGACAAAGAAACATGCTAGATTCCACTGGACACCTGGTGCGCAAACCGCATTCGAGTCAATCAAACAGGCGCTTCTCCAGGCCCCGATTTTAGCTTTTCCAGACATTACCAAACCCTTCAAATTATACACCGATGCTTCCCAGTACGCCTTAGGCGCGGTTTTGATGCAAGAACAAGACGGCCAAAATCGGGTCATTCAATATATCTCACATCAATTTTCGGAGCAACGACTCAAATGGCCTACCATCGAACGCGAAGCGTTCGCTATCGTCTACAGTTTGGAAAAACTCCGTCCAATTATCATTGGCACTGATATCACAGTTTATACCGATCACAAACCACTAAAACATTTGTTCACCAGTGAGATGAAAAATCCCCGCATCCAAAGATGGGCCATTATTCTCGGCGAGTATGGCTGCAAAATCGAGTACATCTCCGGCCCTCAGAACGTAGCAGCCGACATGCTGTCGCGACTGCACAACACTCCAGTAGCAGGCGATCTGAATGACAATGAGCACCTCGACTGGCAAGGCGAGTCGATGAATGTCAATGTGGTAGATAACCAGGTACAAGTAGATGCTGACGACAACGAAGTCAATGAGAAGCCACTAGACTATCACGGCATCGACATAGGCTCATTACGGAAAGCCCAACGAAACGACCCAGAATTGAAACAAATTAGAGCTGACCTTCAGTCGAACGACGAAAGCAACCCAAACACCCACAGATATTGTTTAGACGACGGACTCCTTTACCACATAGAGAAAAGTACGAAAACCCGGCCGCTCACCAAACTGCAGCTCGTCCTACCGCCTCAATTTAGGAAAATAGTCCTCCATTGCGCTCACGACGGTTATTTTGGAGGCCACTTAGGAGTCGAGAAAACCACAGACAAAGTGCTCAAAACGTACTATTGGCCCTCATTACTGAAAGACGTCATGCAATATGTCTCGTCATGCGACACGTGCAACAGGAAAAGGCTCAACAAAGAAAGACGACCCATGCAGGACATGCCCATGCCTTCAGCACCCATGGAGATCATCGGCATAGACACGTGCGGCCCATTTCCCATTTCGGATAAAGGAAACAAATATGTGTGTACGATCGTTGACCACTTCAGCGGATGGCCCGAGGCATGGGCTATCTCAGACAAGTCAGCAAACACCATTGCAAAACTACTTTTGGAAGAATTCATCCCGCGACATGGCTGTCCGCGAGTCATCATTAGTGATCAAGGTACGGAATATTGCAATGCACTCTTGGATCTAGTTAATCGCGAGTTAGGAATTTCACGGGTTAGGACATCAAGCTACCATCCCCAATCAAACGGAAAGACCGAGCGATTCCATAGGTGCATGAACGACATGATTAGAAAACAAATTAGCGAGGATCAAACAAAGTGGGATGAAGTTCTGCAGCCATGTCTAGGCGCTTACAGGGTAAGCAAGAATGAATCTACCAAATACTCTCCCTATTTCATCATGTATGGAAGAGACCCCGTCCTGCCCGTTGACACGCTCCTGCAACCTAGATTGCGGTATTATGGCGAAGACTACGTCCCAGTCATGTTCGAGCATTTGCACAATGCTTACGCACATGTAGTAGAAAACATGCAGGAAGCCAGGGAACGAAACAAAGCCCTCATCGCGCGAAATGCGGTTCCTTCAGACTTCACACCCGGTGACCTTGTTTACTATTTCGATCCCTCAGTGCAACCGGGCGACACACCGAAATTCACGCTACCCTGGAAAAACCATTTTCGAGTAGTCTCGAAATCAGGCCCTGAAAACTATTACATCAAAAACATGCTAACAGGCAAATCGAAGGTAGTACATTCAGAGAACCTGCGCCGGAAGGATGAAACCGATGTTTGGGATAGAGTCTACGATGTAGTGAAACGTCCCCCACAGGTAGGCATTCGCTCGGAAGAAGAACCTTCCCGTCAACAACCGCTCCGCGCGGCCCGGTTACCGTTAGGTGACCAACCCTGGTTTGCTTCTATGAGCACACCAAACCCCACATACGAATCGAGAGAAGGCACCGCAGATATCCAGGAAGAGGGCAACGGTCCTGTTCCTGAGAACCCTTCAGTAGCAACAGGTGACCCCAGCGTTATTAACTCACCACAGTTACCGAACAATGGTGAGCATGGTCAGTTACCGCCGCTACCACAGAGGCTACATGGATACAATCTCAGGTCTCGAGCTCAGACGAACGAGCCTCTAGAAGGGTATGAATACGTTAGGAGACCCTACGTAAGGAAGCGAAATGACAGCTTTGACGAGTGCCCACCAGACAAGAGGCCCAAGGTCCAATCAGGAAATGACTGCTTAGCAGTAATGGCTAGCGGTCCAAATGATGCTGAAGTCCAACAGCCATTTGCCGAGATGACTCACCGTTGCCGAAGTGATTCATCAGATTGGTTACCAAAAGCCCACATGTTACTTGTATATACATTGACTATGGCGCTTCTTAGCCCTGGCCCAATGTAATAAATGGTCGTTGTGTGTGTTCCAGACATGGCCGTCACAACGATGCTGTGCGGATGGCTGCTGCTGCTCATGGTAACAAATACGCCTAACATAGCTCATTGCTCCGCTCCCCCCACTGACCCCGGACATCTTTTCATCCCCCTAGGGAAAACTTACCCAAGTTATAGCTCGTGGGCAATAACTTTATCGATCAGCATGAAACCTTATCGCAAAGATGTCCGCAGAATCAATGATGCTACGAACGAGCTCTCCCGCACTGCGAGGACACTGCTCGCCAACCACTCGCCGCCCACCAACGCTACCGCTGCCGACCCCGCTCATGCTTCTCTAACTGTATCACTCAAACATCTGTCACACTCCATTGATCAGCTGCAAACAGAGGAGAACCATCTCGTCGACACATTTCGTGACCTGCTGTCCATTCCTGAGGCACGGAGCTCTGCACGCTCGGCCAACATTGTTCGCCGAACTGGCCGCTCCAAGCGTGTCAAGCGAGGACTCATTGATGGCATCGGAAGCGTAATGTCGTCTCTGTTTGGAACTGCCACTGAAAGTGAAATCAAACACTTGGATCGTAACGTACAGCTTATCAATACCAAAGAAGTCGCCATGGCACATGCATTTAATGGTACGCTTAATGTTATTAACTCTACCAGGGTCGCCACTACACAAAATAGGAAAGCGCTACGTACACTGCAAACGGCGATGAGCTCGATGAGCACATCGCATTTGAAGCTGATCAGGGCCGCCGACAATGCAGAGGCACTCATCACCGTATCACTTCGCGTAGCCGACCTTGCAGAGAATGTCAGACAAGTTACTAGAAGTCTCAATCATCTTTATACTTCGTTGGTATCGCTCTCTAGCAAACTCGCTCTAGCCCAAGTAGGAATCCTACACGCTGACCTCATTCAATCACGTGACCTCAACCGTGTCCTTCGTAAGGTGAGCAAAAGCCTTCCGGCACATTTTGCGCTGCCTTTTCCGCCTTCGGCTACTCGCGACTACGTTCGCATTGTCAAAACCAAGCTCATCCCAGTCGATGATGCTTTTCACGTCCTCTTCTACATTCCACTGCTCCACACGCTTCACGCGTTTGACGTTTATCGCTTCTTCCCCTATCAGGTCCCGCTTCACAGCCATAACATTTCCCTTCTCTATGTTCCCAACGAACCCCGCTACCTGGTTGTGTCAGAGAACAGACAGCAATACATCCAGCCCGTCGACTCTGAGATCGAAGCTTGCCTTCTGATCAAGCAACCGTTCTGCCCCCTTCACGAACCCGCTTACTCCACGGCAAACGCGGATTCGTGCGTAGTAGCCCTTTTCCGCCAGGACGAGCTATCCATTTCTCGTCTCTGTGCTCCGATCGTCCGACCTACAAACGACGCTCCTAAAGCTCATTACCTATCCCGAGGTACTTGGCTACTTGTCTCTCGTCCGCCGCTGTCTATCACTGTCGTCTGCCCATACAATAGCACCACTATATCTATTACAAAGTCGGTACACCTTCTGACGTTGCCCATGGAATGCTCTGCCTCCAGCGACTCTCTCTATCTCCCTCCCTACTATGCCAGCGAAACACACCTGGACTTCCCTGATTTCAACGATGCCTTTACAATCTCTAATGATTCCTCTTCAATTCCAATCTGGCGATCGCACTGGACCTCCGCTATCCCTATTGCCGCACAATCCAATTCCTCACTCATACCCACGCTTCATGTTGACGGTATGCCAGCCGATGACTACTTCAACCGCGTAGAAGCCTTACCACTCGAACAGGTAATCGATGATACGCCATCTGCATTTTCATACACCTGGCTACTCATTATCATCATCAGTGTACTTGCCACCTGCTGCATGTGCTTCTGCATCAAACATTGCTTTCCCCGCTCCCTCGCTAACTACCGTCTACCGCGCTTTGTGCCCGCTTCCGCTGTCAGAGACATCCGAGAGCCAGCCATCGAGATGGACGAGTGCCGTCACGCACTCAACCCGCCAGCCGCTCCTCCGGGCAGTCTGCAAAGCATCCCGGAGGAAACTGCAGTGGACGCAACGGCGTCAACCAGTGAAACCCTGGCCGCAACGGAGCTGCCGCGACATGCCCCGTTTGCTCGCCGACCAGTGGTGTCCCCCCGACCGTCGCCTATCGTGTGAGGCTACCCGCGTTCCCACCCCCTAGTGCTAGTGTTTAACCAAGAGTGAACCGCCGCGTACGAACTATCCGGGTCACAGCCTGACTCCGCGACCACCCCAAGTGCCCCAGTCGTGGCCTTGGCGTCGCCGTGCTTCTCCGCTTCAAGCCGCCGTTCGGTCGCCGCGTGACCGACAACACGGACTTCATCGCCTGCTCCAGTACTGCAGCGAGTGCTTCGGAGCGGCGACGCGCGCCGCCTTGCGCCGCGCACCTTCGTCGCGTCCCCCTTTCGCCGCGCCCCCCCTCGCCGTGTTCCCCTCCCTCCCCCCCGTCGTATTCTCTCGTCGCGTTGTAGTGTCTCTGCTCGTTCTGTGGCTCCCCCACCCGGTCCTTTGCCCTTCAGGCGTCGGACTCTGCTTTCCTCCTGTAAAGCTCTTGCCCTGGGTGGGGGAGGTGTGTAAGGTGTGCGCCTCTCGCCTTTGGGTAGTACATAATTACGCTGCCACCTATGTACTTCGCTTCTTCATTGTTTTTGTTATATTAATCACCAGTAGTGTTACCTGCGTGGCGGCAATATTTATACCCCTCTTTATATTACGTACAATTAACACGATTTACGGCAATACTTATACTTTCTTTATATTACACGATTTCAACACTGCTGAGCGCCCGGCTCTGCACGGCAACCCGCGCCCGGCTGGCGGTGTGTCATTTGTTATTCATGTCGATCGCCGCTCAGCGCCTGAAGCCGTCTGGCAGGCGCCTGGACACTCAGCAGCCGGAGCCGGCGCTCTCTGAACATCTCAACACACGCATACCTATCTAGGAACACTTTTAGCCTGCTAAATGTCCACTAATGGTTTTGACGTGTTTCTTGGAACTCTGCTGCGCCGGACACTTTCAGCCGCGTGACATTAGTCACCCACGTGACATAGAACTTCCAGAACCTACTAGAACATTCGAGAGTCGTGACGCAGCAACGACCAATCACAAACGTCCGAGTTACACTCGAAAAAGTCTTGAGCCAATCGTAAGCCGCCACGCAGGGTAGAGGGCCACCGCCCCATAGTAGGAACTAGGTTGAGGGAGTCGAGCTCTGACCACCCCTCACGGGTGCCGTTCAGAAGACCCCCGGCCGTCACTGAGATCAGACGTGTCGTGCCTGAATCGTGTGTGACTCCCAATACACCGGTGCTGAAGAACTGGAGTGTGCAAGGGCTAACACCTGCCCGCCGTGCCCCAGCCCCGGGCCCGTGAACTACGGCGTGTTACAGGTGCTACTGTCTGTATATACAGCCTGCAGGTCCGGAGGTGGGACGGGCTGCCGCGTCGCCCATCAGCGGCTCAGGGGCGCGCCGCCACCGGCTGTCTCCATAACTCGGCTCTACCGGAGCCGGCCGGCACGACACGGCGCCGCCGGGGACGGAGGTCGGCCGCCAACTACACAGCCGGGACAGCCCGCAGCCGGGACAGCCCGCAGCCCGGATAGCCGGAGGACGGCCGGAGCCGCGGCCGCAGCAGACAGCGGTCGGCCATGGAGGCACATACACCAATACTTTTAGACACAGCTCCAGGCCAGCCACACTGCCAGGTCCTGAAGACCCTCGCGTCATCTGCCAGGGATGGAGGCGCAGCCTGCTCTGGCGCGCGCCGGGTCTGGTGCAGTCTCCCCCGCGCACAAAAACTCAGCGCCGTGCCCGCCGCCGCGGCTGTTTGCTACCGGCGCGCGGCCGAGCTCTCTGCGAGTACGGCGGCGCAGGGTAGCGCCAGCCGCGTGCGGACTGCACCCAGATCCCCGCGCGGGCGTCCAGAGGCCCCAGCTGGTCTAGTCTGAGGGTCGACCAAAGATGGAGGTTGCTAGCCATCAGTCAATGCGCACAGCGGTCCGCCCAGTCCCTGGTGTTATCCGCCGGTACCGTTCGTTCAACTAAGGCAGCCAGCCGACCGAGCCAGTCAATCATGTGATGGATCGCCCTCCATTGGCACTTCCTCTACTTCGATGATGGCTCGACTCCGGTGTCTCCAGTGGGACCAGCTGGTGTCCGACGTCCGGCGCGCGGATGGGGAGAGAAATCAGCCCGCTCCGCACCCAACAGTCGGCCGTCGCCGGCACCGGGCCGCTCCCACGCGATGCGGCCGCGCACGGCACGAGAGAGCCGTCCAGACGCCGGGCGCCGGCGGCGCGGCACGGCAGGCCGGACGTAGGACAAAAGGCGCCGCCGTCTGCGCCAGATTACTGACGGCCGGAGACGAGACCCAGGTCCGCGGCGCAGGACAGCGGCACACGCCGCGCAGTCCACCGACCAAGTCACAGTCCCGTGACACGAATCAAAACATGACTACCGGCCGACGAATAAACAGCCGGCTCCTCCGGGCGGAACGTATGAGCTGAGAGCCAGACCCGCGGCGCACAACGCTGTATCGTTGATCTCACGAGAGGAGCAGAGTGGGGGCGGGCGGTCCGCGCCTCCCGACTGGTCGTAAGCAGTGCCGTGGCGCGTCACGGCAGCGCGCAGTGGTCGGCCACCGTCAGCCCGTTATCGTCTGTTTACCCCGGACATCTCCCCGGCGGCGCGGCGGCGGTCACGGCCCGGCGTGCCGCGCCGCTCCTCGCCGCATTCCCCAGCACCAGAGACCGCTACACGGCAGCGCTGGCCAGGTGTTTATTTAGCCTCCACAGGCCCAGCCAATATTTATTTTATCTGGGCAGCGGCGGGACAGGCGCGCGCCGTATTACACCGCCAGCAGCGCAGCGCGTGCTGGTCGGCCCGCAGCACTGGCGCCGGCCAACTCACCCAGCCCCGCCTCTGAGTCGCCCTCGGCGGCGGCCCAGATAGCCCCAGGCTATCAGCGACGGGCCGCGCTCATCTGACCACCAACTAAGCCGCTCAGAGCCGACGGCCACTGGAGCGCTATTTCCAGCCGCCTTTTATGAAGTCTCTAGATGAACTCATCATGTTCTACAAACCCTAATCTGTCCGGGACGCGCTCGTCTTGATTTTACGGCATCAATTTCCCCTTTTCATCACGGGAATGGCTAGAGTTTCTGGAGGCGTTTTACGCGGCGTCGCCGGCGCGCCGCGTCCTCTCCCAATCAGAGCCTGGCCGGCGTAAAATGAAGCCGGCCGCCGTCGCCGCTGTTTCGGCCTCGTAAACGAACCTCGCGCCGGCCGACGGGCCGCCGGCCACCCGGCCCGACGCCACACAAAGGAGGCGATTTTCCGCGCCGCGTCCGACACCGTCGGCCGTCGTCGGGCGTGTCCCGCTGACCCGGACCGGCTGATGGCGCCGCGGATTCCCCTGCCGGCCCGCTTTACGGCCGCGATACGGCCGGCCGCCGAGAGTGGCGGCCCGGCCGCGAGCGCCGCCCGCCGCCGGCGTTTACGGCCCGGTTTACGCGGACCAATCGCGTCGTAAAAGCCGCGTCGATGGAGACGTGTCGGCCACTAACGAGCCGAAAGCGGCGCGTAAACAGTCGCAGACGAATCTGCCGCGCCGGAGATCGACGACGATCGAGAGTCGAGAGCGACGGACGAGCGGCGCGGCGGCCGCCTGCCAGGTGGCGGGCCCGCCGGACCGAGACAGCTGAGTGGCACGGAGTGGTCTGCACTCTGTCCGCCGACACGGGAGCGGGAGATCACATCACGAAGGCCCACAAGAAGCGCGGCCCATCCGTGAGAACGACAGGTGGCCGAGAGCCTGTTGGAAGTGATGAGCCGCCATCACGACCCTCGGTCGGATCGGGCCGTGAGTCGGCCGCCCTCCTAGACCGCCGCCAGCCGACATGGGCCAGTGGCCGCGGCGTTTTTGTCTCCGCCGCGGACAATGGTGTCTGCGCGCGTCGCGGCCGAGGCGGCGGAAGCAGCGAAGGCTGCGCACTGTTTGTCACACGCCGTGTCCAATCGCCGCCGCCGCATCTGGGATCGATAGAGGGGTCGAGCAGCACGCGGGACCGCGGGGAGCCTCGTGGGCCACTGGAGCAATCTGCGACCCTCCGGCGCGGAAGAACAGCGCGCGGAGCTGCTGGAAAAGGGTGTTCCACGGAGTCACTGGGCGCTGCGCCGCTGCCGTCGGGAGGTGCCGGGTCGGGGACGGGTCGGACTGGGTGCGCTGGTCGGGTCGGACTGGGTGCGCTGGTCGGGTCGGACTGGGTGCGCTGGTCGGGTCGGACTGGGTGCGCTGGTCGGGTCGGACTGGGTGCGCTGGTCGGGTCGGACTGGGTGCGCTGGTCGGGTCGGACTGGGTGCGCTGGTCGGGTCGGACTGGGTGCGCTGGTCGGGTCGGACTGGGTGCACTGGTCGGGTCGGACTGGGTCCGCTGGTCGGGTGTGATCAATGGCAGCGGCTGACAGGAGAGCACTGGCGCAGGCAGAACAGGTACGGGGCTCATCATGTCGTGACAACACAGCACAGACAGGTGGACGAACACCGCGGCCATAACGGTTCTGCGCGCTAACGGGCTCGGCACCGCGCGGCGCGGGGGGGGGGGGTCACTAATCCGCCGACAACGGGAGATCGGTGGATCGCTACAAGCTGAGAGGGATCCCCGAACCGGTCCCGACAGCGGCCCTGGCACGAGCCGGGCGGTGAGCGGAGCGGGCCTGAGGGGCCGCCGGCTCAGACTGGCCGAGCGCGTGGGAGGCGCCGACACACTCGGCGAGACGACTCGACCGCGGCGACAGGGGATTAATCGCGCCTGGGAGGGCTGTCACGCGGACCCGCTGGCCTCGCACCACTCACCTGGCGTCCAGGAACCGCGAGCGCAGGATCATGACGGCCTCGCACGTCGACTGCTTGAGCTGCACCTGGATACTGGAGAACTTCTTGTGGATGATCTGCACCATGCGCTCGATCTCTTTGGGCGTGATGGGCCGCGTCCGCGACTGTTCCCGGAGGAGGTTCATCACGTGGGTTGTGAACTCGTTGCACGCCTGTCAAAAGGAGATCATAATGAGAACTGGCGCCTCTGACTACCTGGTAATCTACGCGGTGACACCGACTCTCCAACATGTCAAAAGACTCGAGACCTTTTCCTGACGGATGTCAGCCGGAGGGCGACTAGTTACCGCGCGATGGACTATGGTAGGGTCGGCTATCGGGCCGGCTCAACATATGTACATACACTACCCGCGGCCCCAGCTCGGCGGGATGACCCAACTGCCGGGCACCACTGGCAGCACAGTCGGACGCCTGCAAACCGCGCCTCTCGCTATTGTCCAGTCAACATAGCGCGCCCAGAAATGCATCATTTGGCCCGCGAACGGGCGCCGATGCCGACACAGACGACCCGGCGGCCGGCGGTGAGCATACATCTCCCATTCCCGTCTGCCGGCGAGCGGGCCGTTTCACTGAGCACGGGTCGTTAGGCAGCGCAGTACGTCAGTTCGGGGTCGGCGACAGCGTCCGGACAGCCAGCCCGGCAAAACGCCGATCTACTTATTCGGAGGGGAAATATACGAATTAGATGGGTTCAACTAATGCAGACACAATATCTACATATTATAATACCATTTGATGGTCCCCGCTTTCATACCCGATCCGTGTAGAATTATGTAAAATGGGACGCTAAAATGAAACTGAATTTCAGTCTCTACACTAGGTCAAGGTGGAAGAGCCACAACAAACCGTGTTATGAATTAATATTTTCACTGATAATCCATGTCCGACCGCCGTGGGCCCTGGCGCGTCGCCTCTCATCCCGTGCTGGCCGCATCCCATGCCATGCCAGCCCCCCGACGGCTGCTGCGGAGCGCCACTCGACGGCTCCGCGCGCGCCGTGTGTTCGCTGGAGCTCGCGCGCGGGGCGCCTGGCGTGCGAGCAGTGAGCGCCGACCGACAGCGGTATTGACCAGAGAGGGAGCGACGGCGACACGGCGACGGGCGCGCGGCGCGCCCAGCCGGGCCCACATCGATCTAACAACAGACCTCCTCGGGCCGCGCGCCACGCATGGACGGCGGGCAGCACACCGCGCCGGCCCACGGGGCCAACCGTACAACGGAGCGTCGATGGAGACTGAGGGAGTCGGACGGGGAAGATGGTGTCCAGAAAAGGCCGTGAAACGGGATAATGAGGAACACTCGGGGATATGGATCGTATCAGGGCAGCGACGTGGCATGAAAGTGGTCGATGGCGGCGTGGAATTGGTCACGGAACGATACAAAGCATTTGAACACCACACCAAGGAAGGACTCCAGAAACCACTGTAAAAAAGCGGGTAAAGAAAGACGAAAATGGAAGCCAGCGGAGGAAGAAGAAAAGGAAAAGAACGTTGCGGTGTCACTGACCGGAACGAGACGGTAAAAAACTCGCGCCGTCGCCGAAGGCTGCGATACGCCCGGAGGCCCGTTCGGTGATCCGCACCAGACCCATTAGCGAGCCGGCACATAAGCAGTAAAAAACCGCCGCGCATCCACCCCTGATGT